ATTAACAAAACAAAACAAAAAAGGCAAGAAAAATGAATATATTTTTATTCTTTTAAATATTATGTTAACTCTTTTAAAAAGTTTTAAAATTTTATTTCTCAACTACAATTTGAATACAGTGTTAAATTAGTTTCAGGTATAATGTCTTATTTCTTAAGAAATGCAAATTTTACTGCCATAAAAGAGTGGTTTCTCTGTTAAACATTACAATGAGTGTGCTATGTTTCAGCTTTCCTACAATCACAACCTCAAGCATCTATTAACAATACCATCCTTGTTTCTCTGCCCTCTTTTGTAGTCAAAGTTCTGTTCTGACATTTAAGAACATGAAGCCTTGATGGTATGACCAACAATGCTAGGGCTGATACTCTTTTCATCTGGCAACTTACAGATCTAATGGCAAGGATGTCCTCAACAGAAAGCCATTTCAGGATATGGAAGAGCACATCTTCTGGGAGACTCAAGATGGTTAAGTTTCGGGGTCTTCTTCTTATTCTTCGCTTTGTAGGATAACAGAAACACTTGGCACACCTACAGTGGATCACTTTAAAAAAAATTGCAAAGGAGTTGTACTGATTAGAAAAGTTATATCTGAAGATGATTTAACAGTTATGGTCCCCTGCCCCATAAAAGGAATCAGCCATATTTCTCGTCCTCAACAAAGAATAAATAAAGGAGTAGTGTTATAAGGATAACATAAGATATCATCATTTATTCAAATATTCAGTATTTTGGTGAACAGCAGATAATTGTTTAACTGGGCTATTGGGAAACTTTCTGATCCAGAGCCCAGATGACAACCAGGAAGGGGAAAAAAGCAGCCAATGAAGCCAGCCCCCTGGGACCCTTGCTAATCACTTTGCTTTCGTTTGCATACATAACTAAAATGTATAATGTTCAATAAGGATCTTTGGACTTGAACAATCTGGTTTTCGAGTCCAAACTAAGAGGGTCACCCCATAGGGAAGCAAAGGCTGAACTTGGAGGCCAGCTCAGTCCCCCCCTCTGCCCAGTGTCCTCTCTCCCTAGAGGGGGTCACTGCAACTCCAGCAGCTCCTTCCTCATTCTAAGCAGAGGACTTAAGAACTTCCGGGCAGGAACCCCTCACTTACAATTTACCTGGTTTTTTACCCATTCCTCTCCTCTGTCCCTACAGGATGGGGCTGCTCTCCCCTGCAGCACTGCACCCCCCATCCCGCTCTTCACCTGGGTCTTCCCATCAGCAGCAGCTACACTCAGGGTGAACAGTTCCCACAGATTACATGGACTTTACCACACTGTCCTCATTCCCTTGATGTAGGACAGACATGGAAACGCTTAACCGCTATGCTGATAACCACCGAAACCGCGACTGCGCTCACAGCCCTCCACAGGTGCTGGAACTCGCGCGGGGTTTTCACGCGGACCTGGGCGCCGCCTGGCATTTAAACTGCGCGCCAGGGAGGTGCCGCCGGGACCCCAGGCCGAAAGCCTCGAGCCAGCCTGGGCAGTCTTGGGCCTCCCGCCCGCCGCGGCCCGCATCCCGCATCCCGCATCCCGCACCCTGCACCCCGCGCTCACCACCGCCGCTCCCCATCGCCACCTGCGCCGGCACCTCAGCCGCCTCAGTCTAAGCCGCTCCAGCCGCCGGCCAACCCTGAGTGCACCGCCCCACGCACGCGCAGACCCTCCCCGCCGCCCGCCCTAGTTTTCAAACGCACCCAGCGCTTCCATTGGCCGGTCCGGGGGGGCGCGCGCCGCCTGTCTACAGGGCTCTGCCCTCGGCCCCGCCCCACTGGTCTGCTCCGGGCGCTCTCGATTGGTCGCTCCAGGACGCGAATTCGAACGCCGGCCGTTAATTGGCGGAGGCCAGGAAGCCGCCCCGGCAGGTTCGGGCGGGGGTCCAGGAGGAGCGCGGCTCAGGCTTGGCGGGCAGGGGTTTCTTTAGTCCGTCATAGGCCGCGTGTCCTTGGGCTGTTTGGTGCGTGGGGATCGCTGCTTACTTGGCGTCAGAGGTCCCGGCCACCGGAACCCATAGCGCATAGTGGGCTGTCAGTGAAGGTCTGTGCGGACCCTCCGCGTCTCCGGGCGTGAGATCTGGCGTAGGGCGCAGCGCCGCTGGGGCACTGACGCAGTCATCTACCAGAGTGGACGCAGGAACCAGCACCCGCGCGTTGCTCCCAGGCGCCCCCTGATCTACGGCCCTCACCCCGAGGCCTCACGCCCTGCTTCCCGTTGGTGCTTCAGGGACCCAGGCACTCTCTGCATAGATTGTAATGCAGAAAGTGGAATTGGAGATCTGGGCCCCAAATCATCCACTCAGCCAGCACATTGACCCCTTCTTCCCCAGGAAAGAGGCTCACTCTGGACCCTTCCTGCGTACCTATTAGGGCAAGCCCTAACCCTTTCACTTTGTCCAGATATCTTCTCAAGTCTGTCCTCAGTATCTCCTGTCACCTGGGAGCCCTTTGTAAAAGGGAAGTGCACACCTGCTTGCTTTACTGGCTACTGCCAGCCACAGCTGAACATTCTATTCTGTTCATTCAATGGTTATCAGGCAGTGCCCACATGGCCTGTCTTTCAGGAACCAACTCACATCCCACCTCTTTCATGAGACATTCTAACAAGGAAAGAAATGCAATTTCCTGGGTTGATGGAGGATAGAGTAGCTTTGCCTGGAGAAGCTAGGGAATCTGGGTCATAGCCCAAACCCCTTCTCCCACAGCCTCAATTAGCAGTCATGTCCCCTCTGTTCCCCTATCCCTCACATTCCCTGAACCCCATGGTGCCTAGGCTCCTTGCCACTCTGGAGTAGGAGATGGAGAAGTGAGGAGATGGATGATCACAATAAGAGATGTGAGAATTTCAGTGATCCCAAAATAACAAGGTGCTGAGGCTCTGGAAGTTGGGGGTGGCAGAGGGGTGAGCAGTGATATACACAGGAAGTCTAGAGCGGAACATGTTTGGGGCCTGCTCCCCAAATTTCTCACTTCATCTTTGTTTCCATTGGTTACTATTTCCCAGTTTGTTACTTTGTTGCCCTTCTCCCCTGCATTGTTACTTTGTTACCAGTTTCCCCCAAGCAAAGGTATATTCTTTCAGTATTAGATTTTGGGAGCACCTTGAAGGCACTAATAAACTGGACTCACCAATGAGCACCGCTCTAACTCTCCTGTAATACTATGTCACTGAGTCCAAAAAGCACCCCTGGTCACTCAAAGTTCCTCAGTTGTCCTTTGTCTTGTTCTTTATGTCCTTATCGCTCTCCTTCATTCAGAAGTAAAGTTTTCTTATTTTTCAGGAAACAGGTATTTTCTTGACTATGAGAATTCCCTAGCCCCTACCCACTGCCCTAGCAGTAAGAGCCCCTAGGGCCCACGGGGGTGAGAGACACTCCCAGAGGGTGTGAGAAGAGCCCATTTTTCACTGGACTTCAGGAGGGTGAAAGAACTCATTGGAAAAGTCTAGACTGTGGGGAGCTCAGGGAAGTTCCTGCTTGGAATAAGATGGCAATTGAAGGCCTAGGGGTGAATGAGAAAGAAATTCAATGACAGGGTGCAGAGTGGAGAGGAAGGAAATATAAAGTAGACTGGGAACTCGAAGAATTCCATCATTCATACAGAAAAGAAGAGGAGCATTCATTCAGAGGAGGCAGAGAAGGGGCCATGGAAGGACAGAGAACCAGATGAAGTGGGGAGAGGCTTTCATCAGAAGGCTGCAGGAGACATTGTGAAATGCCATAGAGAAGTTACATGAAAAAATAAGGGAGAAACCAGTGGGTGTGGGCAAAGGGTGTGATAATACTGTAATTTTGGGCGAGTGGTGATGAGAAATAGGAAGTGTGGGCAGGGATGGTAGACACCACTTTCCCAGAGGTTGGCTGAGAAGGGAGGAGAGCACAACTTTCAGAGGAGAAGCTGAGGGGACTTTTTAGAGGAGGCCATAGTGACCCCGCTGGAGAGAGAAAGGCTGCTTGATGGGGCATGTCTCAGAGGGTATCCTCATGACAGAGGTGCAAAGACACATCCATCCACATGCAGGCTAGACAGGGTGATGGTCCGTAGCACGCAGGTCTTGTGTTCAGTGGTTCTCACACCTGAACTGCATCAGAGGCACCTGTTAACATGGAGCTCATTTTAACGCAGGTTGCTGGGCCTCACCCCAAAATTTTGATTCAACAGGTCTGGGGTGGGTGACCTGCATTTCTAACAAGTTTCTGGATGCTGCTAATGCTGTGGTCAGGAACACCACTTTGAGAACCTCTCTCTGCCTGAGTCAATGTTGGCTCTATACCTGCTGACTGTGGAAAGTTACTGAAGTCTAAATCTCAGCTCACTCATCTGGGCAATGGTATAATGATCACGACCACTTCAGGGGTTGGTGTGGGGTCACATGCAGGCTTACCTTAACATTTGCAGGGGCTGGGGCAGAGAGCAAATCCAAATATGTACATGTTGAAAAATTATGAGTTAGGCTGCAAACCCATCAATCTGTCTCTTCTCTTACCTTCAGAACTCTGACATTATTACAACCATGGTCACCCTCAGGCTACTGCTCCTTGAGAGGACACAGCAGGTGTTTCTCTGAGGCTGCTTCCACAGGCAGGTCTCATTGAGGCCACCTGCCACCAGGGAGGTGGTGGCAAGAGGAACCTGCTGGCTCTGCTTTCCCTTGTTTGTTTTCCCCTTGGGTGGGGGGCCCAGGGCAGGTGAAGCTCAGGAAGATGTCCTCCAGGGAGACCTGGCTGCCTGTAGTCATCTAGCTTGTACTTCTTCTTGGCTTGCACCTGGGTTCTCCACCAGGACTTCAAGGCAAATGACCTCAGTCTGGCAGAGAGCCACCCCAATCCTCCACCCCTGAGCTGAGCTTCTTGGGACCACCAGCTGCCTATGTAACCCTTGTAGCCCATGGCAGACTATGCACACCTGGGCTAACCTGGCACTGGGAACTTTTTATTATAGCAAGACAGACTGTGAAGGAAGTGGTGAGGGAGGATGGGAGGGAAGTGGAGAGGAAGGCTGGGAGGGAAGTGGAGAGGAAGGCTGGGAGGGAAGTGGAGAGGAAGGCTGGGAGGGAAGTGGAGAGGAGGGCTGGGAGGGAAGTGGAGAGGAAGGCTGGGAGGGAAGTGGAGAGGGAGGCTTGGAGGGAAGTGGAGAAGGAGGCTCAGAGGGAGGCTTGGAGGGAAGTGGAGAGGGAGGCTTGGAGGGAGGTTGGGAGAGAGGTGGTGGCGATGAGGGGCCTGCTGGCTCTGCTTGCCCTTGTTTGTTTTCCCCTTGGGTGGGGAGCCCAGGACAGGTGAAGCTCAGGAAGATGTCCTCCAGGGAGACCTGGCTGACTGTGTAGTCATCCAGCATGTACTTCTCCTTGGCTTGCTCCAGAGTGCCAAATACCTGTGGGAAGGGAGGAGGTCACTGTGGATTGTGGGCACAGAGGAGGAGAGAAGAGACAGCAGAGGGTGGAAAGAGGAAGGGATTGTGATACGGTCCCCAAAGGGCCAGACCTCTTTCACTCTTTAGACCCCTAGAGCACTCCGAGCAAGTCATTCCTGCAGAATTTAGCTATCTGCAATCTCAGGGAAAGGGACCCTGGTTGAGAATGGTGCCAGGAAGAAGAGGTTCTGGCTGGGCCCCTGACTTGCCGTGTGACATTGGGTATGTGGCGCCCCCTATCTGGGTCTGCTGTTCTCTCTGTGAAATGAAGAGGAGTTGATCTCCGATGTCCCTTCTAGCTCAAACATATCTTATGAAATCCATATGAACGTGGTCATGGAGATATCAGAGAGGAATAGCAGCAGTACTGAACATGAGACTTCACCCAAAAGAGAAAGCAAGTGACATCAGAGCTATGCTCCCTCCAGTGCTCAGATATATGCTCACGTTTGCCCAGCTGAGGCCATCGCCAGGCAGGTGGTAATGAACCATCCCTTGGTGCTCATCTTCCAGAATACTGCCTGCACAAAGGAGAAACCATGTGCCCATGAGAACCTAGCCGAAGGGCCAAGGGAAGGTAAACTGGGCCCACAGAATTTCAGCCCTCAACCTTGGGGTCAGGCATGTGGGACTTGCCAGGAGCGAGGCACAGAAGCCCTCTGTGTAGTGTCACACACCTGGGAAGGTCAGGTCCACAAAGGCCTTGAACTCCTGAAGTGCCTCCTGCTGTCTGACGCTCCTGACCTTGGCCCGCAAAGAGTAGCCGCTGCCAAACTTGCTCTTGAGGTGCTGCGGGCTGCCCAGGCACTTGAGCTGACCCTGCACCATGATGGCCAGACGAGTACACAAGGCCTCACAGTCTTCCATGCTGGGGAGAAGCAGTGGAGGCCTGACACAGGGCTGGGGTATGCTGACATCCACCCTCTGTGTTAAACACTGAGTGTCAATACCCAGATCAGGCTGTTCCTGAGTCCCTTGCTCAGAGTGTGGCCCACATGCTAGTGCCTGGGAATTCTCACAGATTCTGTACCAGCTGATGCTAGGTCTTTCTCCACACAGCCCCTCCCTGCCCATCCATCCCACAGCCCCTATCCCAGCTCATCCATTGACACACAGATCCCCCAGCTTTACCTATGGGAGGTGATGATGATGGCCTTGCCAGACTTTCGGACCTTCTCCAGTGTGCTCCAGAGCAGGCGCCGGGCCACGGGGTCCATGCCAGTGGTTGGCTCATCCAGGAGGATGACTGCAGGCTCTCCAAGCAGGGCAATGCCAGTGCTCAGCTTCCGCTTGTTGCCACCGCTGGGGTAGAGGGGAGGAAGGTTGGACTGAGTGGCAATTGTTAATCTTCAGTAGTCCAACCCTCCCCACATTTTCTTCTCTGTCCAGAAAGTGCTCAAAACCCCTGGTAGGACTTTTTGTAACATGGCCCATCACCCTCCCCCAGGATGGCATTGTAACTTGGCTGTCAAGTCTGAGTTTAAGCCATTATCCTGGACACCATTCCCTATTCACCCGCAGTCCAGGTAAGTACATGGTCAATGAGCCTTTTTTGAGGATCTCTGTGGGTGCTGGGGATAAGGGCAAAGGGCCATTTTATTTATTTTAATGTGTAATTCTTATTTTTATTATTCTGTAAAAGGTAATAAAATATACAGAACAAAACTTTCTTTTTTAAAAAATATGTTTTTATTGAATTTTTTATAGAGAGAGGAAGGGAGAGATAGAAACATCAATGTGAGCGAGAAATATCTATTGGCTGCCTCCTGCATGCCCCCTACTGGGGATCAAGTCCACAACCCTGGCATGTGCCCTGACCAGAAACTGAACCAGGACCTCTCCATCCGTGGGGCAATGCTCAATCCACTGAGCCCCACTGGCCAGGCAAAACTTTCTCTTTTTAAAATGAATGTAAGAAATCCATATTATGGTGCTCGCTTCAGCAGCACATATACTAAAATTGGAACGATACAGAGAAGATTAGCATGGCCCCTGCACAAGGATGACACGCAAATTCGTGAAGTGTTCCATATTTTTAGAAGGAAGACTTCCAAACTCGTTTTATGAGGCCAGCATAATTCTAATTCCAAAATGAGAAAAAGACACTACAAAGAAAGAAAACTACAGACCAATATCCCTGATGAACATAGATGCCAAAATCCTGAACAAAATACTAGCAAATTGGATCCAGCAATACATCAAAAAAATTATTCGCCATGATGAAGTGGGATTCATCCCGGGGATGCAAGCTGGTACAATATTCTCAAATCAATAAATGTGGTGTATCACATGTATCAATAAATGTGATACACCACATAAACAAAATGAAAGATAAAAATCATATGATCATATCAGTAGACACTGAAAAAGCATTTGACACAATCCAGCACCCGTTTCTGATAAAAACGCTCAGCAGTGTGGGAATAGAGAGATCATATATCAACATAATAAAGACCATATATGAAAGACCTACAGCCGACATCATACTTGATGGGCAAAAATTAAAAACATTTCCCTTAAGAACAGGAGCAAGGTAAGGATGCCCACTTTCACCACTCTTATTTAATATAGTACTGGAAGTCTTAGCCACAGCAATCAGACAGGAAGAAAAAGTAAAAGGTATCCAAAGGGGAAAGGAGGAAGTGAAACTGTCATTATTTGCAGATGACATGATACTATACATAGAAAACCCCAAAGACTCACTCCATCAAAAATTTACTAGACTTAATAAATGAATTTGGCAAAGTAGCAGGATACAAAATTAACGTCAAGAAATCGATGGCATTCTTATACACCAATGATGAACTCAGAGAAAGAGAAACTAAAAAACAATCCCATTTACCATCGCAGCAAAAAAAAATTAAGATACCTAGGAATAAATTTAACCAAAGAAATAAAGGACCTATTCGCAGAAAACTACAGGTCATTGAAAAAAGAGAGAAAGATATAAAAAAGTGGAAGCACATACCTTGTTGATGGATTGGAAAAATCAACATCATTAAAATGTCCATACTGCCCAAAGCAATCTATAGATTCAATGCAATCCCCATCAAAATACCAACAATATACTTCACAGAACTAGAACAAATACTTCAAAAGTTCATATGGAACCAAAAAAGACCCTGAATAGCCACAACAATCTTGAAAAAGAACAAAGTTGGAGGGATCACATTACCAGATTTCAGGTTATACTACAAAGCCACTGTAATCAAAACAGCCTGGTACTGGCACAAGAACAGATAGACCAGTGGAACAGAACAGAGAACCCAGAAATGGACCCAAGGCAATATGCTCAATTAATATTTGACAAAGGTGGCAAGAGCATACAGTGGAGTAAAGACAGCCTCTTTAATAAATGGTGTTGGGAAAATTGGACAGCTACATGCAAAAAAATGAAACTAGACCATCAACTTGCACCATACACAAACATAAACTCAAAATGGATAAAAGACTTCAATGTGACCCATGCATCCATAAAAATCCTAGAAGAAACTGTAGGCAACAAAATTTCAGACATCATATGCAGCAGAATTTTCACTGATACATCACCTAAGGCAACAGAAACAAAGGAGAAAATGAACACATGGGACTACATCAAACTCAAAAGCTTCTGCACCGCAAAAGATACAATCATCAAAATGGAAAGGCAACACACTGTATGGGAGACCATCATTGCCAATGATATATCAGATAAGGGGTTAATTTCCAATATATAGAGAGTGCTCATACAACTCAACAAAAAGAAGACAAAGAACCCAATTAGAAAATGGGCAGAAGAACTAAATAGACACCTCTCCAAACAGGACATCCAAATGGCCAATACACATATGAAGGAATGCCCAACATCACTAATCATCAGAGAGATGCAAATTAAAACAACAACAAGGTATCACCTCACACCTGTCAGAATGGCTGCCATCAACAAAGCATCAAAACACAAGTGTTGGCAAGGGTGTGGAGAAAAGGGGATTCTAGTACACTGCTGGTGGAAATGCAGACTGGCTCAGCCACTATGGAAAACAATATGGTGTTACCTCAAAAAATTAAAAATTAAAAATTGAGCTTCCATTTGACCCAGTGATCCCACTTCTAGGAATATACCCTAAGAAGCCTGAAACACCAATCAGAAAGAATATATGTACCCCCATGTTCGTAGCAGCACTATTCACAATAGCTAAGATCTGGAAATAGCCCAAATGTCCATGAGTAGACAAATGGATGAAAAATTTGTGATACATATGCACAGTGGAGTACTATGCAGCTGTAAGAAAGAAAGATCTCTTATCTTTTGAGACGACATGGAGGGACCTGGAAAGTATTATCCTAAGCGAAACAAGCCAAGCAAAGAAAGACAAATATCACATGATCTCACTTATTTGTGGAATATAATGAACATAACAGTCTGAGGAATGGGGTAGTCCCAGAGACGTGGAAGTGGGGTACAGACTGACAATCCCCTGAAGAGGGGATTGGGGGGAGAGATAAACTACAGAACTTATATGCATGTATGTATGAACAATGGACATGGACAACAAAGGTGGGGACAGGGTGGGGAGGGAGGGGGAGGGGGGAATCAGTGGGTGAAAAAGGGGAAACATCTGTAAGAAAAATAAATAAATTAATTGAAAAAACCCAAATCCATATTATGGATTATATATAAATACTATACTCTATGGCTAATCATTAATTAGTTGTGTACATCTAATAATGTAGCCCTCTTACTGTTAACACACACACACACACACACACACACACACCAATAAAAGTTTATCCGAAAGTGGATTTTCCTGTGTTGTTTATTCTGAATGATCACAGGATTTTGTCAACGAAGGGCGGAATCACTGTGTGTGTAACATCTGTGCAAAAGAGTGCTTTAGACTCGGTTTTTAAATGAATTTTCACCCTTCAAACGACACAGATATACAAAGATGCATCCTTCATAGAAACCAAGTACAAATCAACCAATTTGAGCTAATTTCAATTACAGAAAAATGCATGGCACAGAATAGAAGCCATGATGTGGTTGTCTTTAGTTATACTGAATCTCATAACACACAAGCCAGCACAGAATGTGTTATTTAGACTTATAAGTATCTTTCCTTAGTTCAATCAGTCTTGTTCCAAGCATAAGAGAGGATACTATTCAATAATAATAACAATCACCATCATCATCATCATTATCAGGCCTATTTGACACTATAATACAAATGGGAAAAATAAACCAGGGATGCTTCCGCTGGTCCTAGTCCCAGAATATTCCCACTAAAATAACTATTCTCTTTCTAAAGGAACTGGAGTATGGGGAGGAGGTATAGATTTGGAGAACTACAAATACAAGTTTTAGAATCTTCCTGTGACCCTTTGAAAGACCAAGCGAGAGGCTCTGCCCTGCCCAGTCCTGGCCTTCATATGGCTTTGAACTCATCAATGCTCTGCTTGGTGTTGCCCTGCCGGCTCTGCCATAGAGTCTTGTACTTGTCCTGGCCTTTCCTCATGTTCTCATTGTGGATGATGTTGTGGGTCCTCTTGTTCTCATCTCTGGGCTGGAGCAGCTCAGTGGACAGGGTTATAAACTGCTGCTGCACATGCTCCTTCTTCTTGGCCTCAGTGATCTGCTTCTTCTTGTGGTCATCTAGGATGCCCTCGCTGGACAGCTCAACGCTGTAGCCCATGTACTTTGTGCCACTCCTGAAGGTTCTCTTGGACATGACAGCCCACCAGCTCCTACATGAAAGCTGGGGTGTGGGATGTCATCAACCTCCTCCTTGGTCTTCACCAGGTCATCCTGGGTTTCTTTGGCCCTGTGCTCCCACTCCTCAACTTCCTCCTACTTAGTCTAAGTATCTCTTTCAGGAGGGTGATCTTGGTGGTGTATTATGCAGTTAGTTGCTCCTGGCTTTTTATCTGATCTACTACCAGCTTCTTCAGCTCCTCCTTGGCCACAGTGCAGCCAAGGGATCAGCCTCCAGGCACTGGGCCTCCTGTGTGCTTCCTCTTCTCCTCCAGCTGCAGGGCCAGAGGGCCATCTTAGTGAACTTTTTAAAATGAACACATAGCATTTATAATGTGTAAGGTGTTGTTTTAAACTTTGCAAATGTTAACTAATTTAATCTTCAAAAGACACAAAGAAACACAAAAACCTGCTTGAAAGTGAAGCCCAGAGAAAGGGAAGAACCAAGGACAACATCCTTTATCCCTGGGTGTCTCTGACTTCCCAATCCAGGGAATGGGGTACTGACGCAAATGTTCAGGGGATGGTATGCACAACTCTAGGGCAGTTCTTGGACTCAGGAGATGTGTGGCCTGGCTTTGTTTAAGCTAATTGGACTTGGGTTAATGTCACTGGCAACAGAAAATTGAGAAATACCCCTAGGCTTCTTGGCAGAATATCAGCAGCTCAGATGCCTCAGACACAGTGGGATAAGGTAATGTGTGCCTGAAATGTAAACCTACCAAAATCAGAACTTTGTTTAATGGCAGGAAGAAAGATCTGTCCTTATTCTGCCAGGACAATAACATCTGCAGTGCTGCTACCTGACTTCAGCCACATAACTGCCCAGGGCCCAGAGGAAGTATTGCCTCGGGGTAGCCAAGGTCATTGACCCATTCTTACAGGAAGGCCACCTCCCTGCAAATCCATAAAGTGGCATGGACTGCACAGCTACCATAAGCCCAGGGCTAATGGGCTTTGCTCTACACCCCAGCACTGAGAAGAACTAGAACACATCTATTTTTTGGAGGTGGCAGGGCCAAGGGAGCTCTAAATCTTACCTGTAGGTCCTCACCAGCTGGTTTGAGTTTGTGTTCATGAGTAAGTCATCAATAATTTGGTCCACACAGGCACTGATGTGGTGCTCAGGGATACCCCGGAGCCGGGCATACATTACCAGCGTCTCCCGGCCTGTCATGTGATCCAGCAGGGCATCACACTGGGGGCAGTAGCCAATCCACTTCTGCACCTGGGGTTGGAACAAGCCCAAGAGGGAGGCATATCAGAAGGAAAGCTGCCAACTGAACACCTACTCTGGCCTTGCCCCAGCCCAGGCTCCTGCCTCTGCCCTGTGAGCAGATGTATGCCTTGGGGATGAGTGGGACAACAGTGATGTCAGCGAGCCTCGGATGCACTGCTTGCTGTTGGTATCTGTAAACAGGAACACATGGGGCTGGAGCACTTACTTGGCCCCCTACTTCCTGCCCACTTGGCATGAAACCTCAGCACCCAGTGCCTCCCTACCTCTTGTCACTTTCAAGTGTCCAGTCAATAGAAGACACTTTATTTTTCCCCTTTAAAAATATTTTCTGTTAGACACATATAGACATGAATAGATTTTCTTTATGAAATATTTACATAAAAGCTACTGGAATCTCTTGTTGGATCCCTGCCCCAGGCCTGGTGTGGTCAGGTTGATGTGCACCTCCAGAATTTTGCACGGATGTGCACTCCCTGCAGAGGACTGTTGTGTGTTGTTTTTGCCAAACAGTATCATCCCTTATCAACAGACTGTAACTAGCTTTTCTAGCACAAAATTACATCTTAAAGATCTTCCTTGGTCAATAAACACAGACCTATTCTGACTCATTTTAATTGCCACTTAGTCTTTTATGGAAGGTTTCTAGATTTTACTTAGCTGTTTATAAAAATTCAGGCACCTTTGAGTTATTTCCAGGTTTTTGCCATTGTGAACTTGCAGTGACCCACCCTGGTTTGTGCCCATGTTCAAACATTCCTCTGGAGCACATGATGAAAATAAAATATCATTTTTGAAAATAACCAAATTTTGCCTTGGCCGGTTTGGCTCAGTGGTTGGAGCGTCGGCCTGCGGACCAGAGAGTCCCGGGTTTGGTTCCTGCTAGGGGCACGTACTGCCCCCGCAAAAGAAAATAACCAAATTTTCTTTCCCCATCTTCCTCCCCACTTTAAGCAGCTGGACAGCTTTGGGATGGGGAGGAGGGGTAACTGCTGAGAAGAAAACAGACAACTTGAATAAAGAGGCTTTAAATATTTCACTATTAAATATAAGTATTTCTGGTAGATTGCCATTATCAAGTGATTTTTAACCTAATGTTTCTTATATTTCTAGTTTGCTAAAAATATAAAGAGTAGGTACTGTGTTTCTTTAAAATGCCTTTTCAAGCTGTGGTACATGTACACAATGGAATACTATGCAGCTGTAAGAAAGAAAGATCTCTTATCCTCTGAGATGGCATGGAAGGACCTGGAGAGTATTATGCTAAGCGAAATAAGCCAAGCAGAGAAAGACAAATATCACATGATCTCACTTATTTGTGGAATATAATGAACTAAACAAACTGCTGAACAAAATTAACCCAGAGACATGAAGGTGGGGTACAGGCTGACAAACCTCAGAGGAGGGGGATTTGTGGGGGGAAGAGATAAACCACAGAACTTACATTCATGTATGTATGACCAATGAACATAGACAACAAAGCTGGGGATGAGGCTGGGGGGGGGAGGGGAGGAGGAGGGTGTCAATGGGGGAAAAATGAGAAACACCTGTAACAAAAACAAACAAACAAACAAATAAATAAATAATAACATGCTTTTCAGCATCTATTGATAAATATTTTTCTCCTTTTATCTATTAAGGTAGGGATTTATATTGATGAATTTTTCTACTATTTTTTTAAAAATATCTTTTCTTTATTGATTTTTAGAGAGAGAGGAAAGGAGAGAAAGACTGATAGAAATATCGACAAGAGAGAACATCAATTGGCCGCCTCCTGTATGCTCCCCACTGGGGATCAGGCCCACAACCTGGGCATGTCCCCTGACCAGAGATCAAACCGGCAACCTCTTGGTGCATGAGTCAATGCTCAACCATTGAGAGACACCAGCCAGGTGGATTTTTCTACTATTGAAACTTACATTTCTGGGATAAGCCAGACTTGATCATAATTTTTATTCTCTCAATATATTACTGAATTTGTACTGTTGATATTTTATTTATGATATTTATGTTCCTATATGAAACTGGCCTATGCTTCATTTTGGATCCTTGTCTGGTTTTATTATCACTTATGAGTTGGTAGCACCCAATCTTTTCTCCCATGATTCTGAAGGGCTCTACAAGAAGGAAATGATCTGTTTGATGGTGGTCAGTAGACTTGTCCATCAATCCCTTTCAGCCTAGACTTTTTAAAGAAGGGGTAAGTCTTTGACCATTATTTCATTTTATTTTAAATTATTATTATTTTTAATCCTCACAAAAGATATATTTTTATTGATTTTAGAGAGAGAGGAAGGGAAAGAGAGAGAGAAACGTCAATGTAAGTGAGAAGCATAGATCAGTTATCGGTTGCCTCCCCCAACCAGGGATTGAATCAGTAACTTAAGTATGTACCCTGACTGGGAATCAAACCTGCAACATTTTTGGTGTACAGGATAATGCTCCAATTCACTGAGCCACCTGGCCAGGGCCTTTGACCATTGTTTTATTTATTTTTTAATTCTCACCTGAGGATATTTTTCTATTTATCATCAGATAGAATGTGAGGGAGGGAGGGGGGAGAGAGGGAGAAAGGGAGAGAGAGAAACATTGATGTGAGAGAGACACATCGACTGGTTGCCTCCCGCACAATCCAACCGGGGCTGAGGACGAACTGCAACCGAGGTACGTGCCCTTGGCTGGAACTGAACCCATGACTCATTGGTCTGCGGGATGACGCTCTAACTGCTGAGCCAAACCAGTCAGGACCATTGTTTTAATTTTATATCTGGTTTTGGTGCATACAGACAGTTTTTCTATTTTTTGTACCAGTTTTGGGACAGAAGTCTTGAAAATGTAATTTGATTTAAAGAAAATGAAGAAATGTGACATTGCTTACACACACCTGAGTTTGCTGTAAACCTGTTGCCATGGTGATTTATCTGGGATGGCCAAGGAGCCCCGTTCAGCACATAGTGGCACCAGGGACCAATGACAACTTTACAGCGGAGCTAAATAATTCTGAGGCAGTGAGTGACTCAGACAGAAATGCATGTGGACTCTCAGAAGTCACTGCTGATTTTTGGAATAACAACAGATACCAATAAGACTGTATTTTAGAAGATGTGAAAGAATGTTTAAAAATACTTGTGCAGCCCTGGCCGGTTTGGCTCAGCGGTTAGAGCATTGGCCTGCGGTCCATAGAGACCTGGGTTCGGTTCCCGCTAAGGGCACATACCTCGGTTGCAGTTTGTCCCCGGCCCTGGTTGGTCGTGTGGGTGGCAGCCACTCTATGAGTCCCTTTCACATCGATGTTTCTCTCTCTCCCTCCTGCTCTATCTGAACAAAGAATGAAAAAGTGTCCTCGGGTGAGGATAAAAAAATAAATAAATAAAAATACTTGTGCAGATGAAAGGTGGTGAGCTCACAAAGAAAGAGAGCAAGGGCGCAGCTTTGTTAGGATTCTTTAATGATATCAATTCAAGTGATATTTCTAGGAGAAAATACAGAAACAGAGGAACAAGTTTAACATGATTGAAATTCCAGATTTCCAACTATGAATTAAAAAAATTTTTTTTTCTTTATTGATTTTACAGAGGGAAGAAGGGAGAGGAGGAAAGAGATGGAAACATCGATGAGAGAAAACATTGATTAGCCACCTCCTGCGTGGCCCCCTTGGGGATGTGCCCTGACCAGGAATCCAATTGGCAACCTCTTGGTGCATGGGTCGATGCTCAACCACTGAGCCACACTGGCCGGGCCCAACTATGAATTTTTACAAAGTCCCAAGAGGTAATGTGCAAATGGGTTCCAGGAAGACTGAAGTCCGATTTCTTGCCAGCTGGGCAGGATGAAGTCCTTGCAGCAGATGTCATTTGATTTTAAATACTACAAAGCGATGTAACATTTCTTACCGCCCAAGTTTATGGAATAAATTCATACTTTCTTCTATGTGAGCTTCAATAAATGTAAGTTGATGAGTGACTGATGACAATAAAGCCAGATGTAGGATCTGCCCAGAACTGTGTGCCCTTGTCCCTCTTTTCTTTTTCCTTTCTTCCTTCTCTTTTTCTTTTTGTAACAGCTTTATTGAGACATAATTTACATACCATACTGTTCACCCACTCACCACATTCACCCATTGTTGAAAGGTTTTTAGCATATTCAGAGTGGTAGATCCATCATCACAATAAATTTTAGGACATTTCATCACCCCCAAAAGAACCCCTGTATCCATTAGCAGTCACTCCCCATTTCCTCCAACACTCCACTACTGGCAACCACTAATCCACTAATTGTCTCTATAGATTTGTCTATTCTGGACATTTCACATAAATGGAATAATATAATATATGGCTTTTTGTGACTGGCTTCTTTCACTTAATGTTTTTGAGGTCCATTTTATATGTAGCATTATCTGTACTTCATTCTTTTAAATAATATTCCATTGTATGGACAGGTCATATTTTGTTTATTGATCTGTTGATGAACATATGAGTTGTTTTCACCTTTTGGCTATTATGAGTAATTCATGTTCAAGTTTTTGTGTAGATGTAGGTTTTCAATTCTTCTGGGCATACACCCAGAAGTGGAATTCTGGGTCATGTGGTAAATCTATGTTGAACCTTTTAATCTTTTAATTGGAGTCTTTAGTCCATTTATACCTAATGTTATTACTAGATTTAAATCTACTTCTATTCAGGGCTGTTTGTTCCATATATTCTAAGTTCCTTTTTCTCTAGCTTCTTGTTTTGTCACATTGATCCCCATCCCCATCATTTTTCTGTTGGCCTAAAAGGTATATACACTTCCCCCCTATTCTTTTGGTTGTTTTCTTGGGTACTAAAACATACATCGTTGATTTAGCAATGTGTAGTGTTAACTGGAACTTTATTTTCTTTGTGAACAAAGTAGGACCTTGAAATACTTTAACCTCATACCCTCTCCTGACTGAAAATCATTACTGTCATATTTTCTAATTTTTATATGTATTTTAAACTGTATAAAACATT